GATATCTTACATAAAGAATTCAGGGTCAATAGGATGACTGTGTTAAATCAGGCCCATTTTCCTTGACAAAGGCTAAAGAACTGAGTTTTCAACTCTTTTCATCTAGTTGATAGTGAAAAAAGGTGCAGAAAAGAAGACTGATGCTCTAGATAGAGCACAGACATTGATTTTCATGTATAAATATTAAATATTCTCAGAATATAATACAATATAGATTATTTAAATTCAACCTAAGGTGGATACAAGTTGCCATGCAAATGATACTAGAGGAATAATGGCATTTCACTACTGTAACAATTAACAGAAGTGTATCATTCTTCAGACTGCTGTCTAGACAAATATCTTATTACAAAAATACTTTAGCAATATCCTTGGAAGTGCACCATCTAAACCAAGGAATATGAACTTGAGTTACAAATATGAGCTGTTCTTATCTAGAACTTCAGGTCAGTAGCAGATGTTACACATTCCTATAGACGCATGCCCAAAGACAAGAATTTTTTTTATTTTAATGGCAGAAATCTGCCAGCTATTCTTGCCTTGTCTGCAACAGCTGAGCAATCTTTCAGTGCCATGAGGAGATTGAAAACTTGGCTCATATCTAGCATGGACAAGCTTGCCTTAATCACATTGCTCTTTTACATGTACACAAGGACATCAACATTGACAGTGCTACAGTAAAGCAGCCATTTGCTGAAAACAACTGTCAACATTGTCAAGTTTTTTGGAACCTTTTACAATGTGATTTCAGTGACAAAGCTTGTATAATTCTGTTTATCAGCTGCCGGAACAAATTTCTATAAAAGAGATACATGGAAAAACATACTGGAGCTGGATTTTCTGTTATCAATTTCTACCTGAAATTCTAAAGCAAATGGAATAGAAGACATTAGAAGATAAATTAACTCCAATATCCAGATATTCCAGTTCCACTTAAACCAATTTCAAGATTTTTCACAAGAAGTGGCAAAACAAAGTAAAATATCTTGTCTGCAGTTCAAAAGTGAGGCTTATTCTAAATTCTTAATGTCTTTTTATTTCTATACTAATCTTGCCACTGAACTTGTAAAGATATGCTTGAAAAAAATAATTACATTATTTTTGCTGCTGATAACCTGGAATTTTAAAAATCCCAACATGTAAGACTCAGAATAGGCACAGAATAGGTAAATAATGCAAAGTGCATAGTAAAATGCTGCAGAGGGTGGGGGAGAAACATTATTTAGGATTAGACTAATTTAGGCTTGGGAGTGGTGCCTATATCTGTGCCTATATTAGCCATTGGGAATTCTGGCTATTCTAGCAGTGCTCAAGACCAGTCTCTCAGCATCTGCCACTCTTTAAGTTACTGGACCATTAACATAATTCTGCAAATGGGTCTTAGGATTCTTGGCACTATGACACCTTCATCTTATTGTATTCTAGTTTTATGCTTTTCATGGAGTAAGTATTACTTAAATAAACAACAGAATAAATGGCATTAAATAGTATTTTGTCAATCAGAAAAATACTTACATGAAAGTGTATGAAGTTATTTCCAGCCAAATTTCATCCCACAGTGGTCTTTCTGTTTACCCAAAGTCCTAATTCTTCTAGTTTGCCTTACAAAAGTGGGGTTTTTTCTCTCTTTCAATCAATCATTCTTCCCAATGGCCCATAAAATACCTTGCACAGAGGAACAGGGCATGTTGCTCAAGATCTTGTCTCCTATCTAAGATAGGTTATGAGGACAACTCTGTGTTTGTTCCTGCAGATCTATTCAGACTTAGTACTAATGCTGTGGAATCTATGAGTCCATGGATTACCAAACAGTCCCTCTTTAGAAGGTTCTGGATGATGCTACCAACACAAAATTTCCCTGCATCATCTTAATCATAATTTCTAAAGGAGTCTTTTATATATGTGCTAGTTGCTGACACTCTTAGCTGTTCCAATTCATTTCTCTAACAGATCCTTGCAATGCCTGGGAGATATCTCGGCTCAAATGTTACAATTACTGGTATTTATCTTGAGTTAAAGAGAAAGGAGGTAGCAGAGGATGGATTGTGGGCACAGTATGCATCAGACCCAGAGAGTTTCACAGCGCACACTGTCAAAGTGGTGACTCAAAGTTAGTTTGGTTGGTGGTCTGACCAACCAAGATAAACAATACTCTTGCCCATAGACCAGGTTATTCAGCTATATGATAAGGATGAAAGCTAATTATGGCTTCTGCAAGGACTCAAAATCATTGTATTGGTTTTGCCATGCAGGGGAAACATTAAGTGGTACAGAATTGTATATGTGTTGCTCTAAGCTTTAGATGTGTTTCTAACTCTTCCTAAAGTTTAGGAACACTAAAATAGTTAATCTTCATGATGACAAAATGAAGCAGGGAAATAAAGTGACACCCTTGAATGAACTGTGAGGAAATAAAATACACAACATGTGATAATGCCTTGACTCTGTTACTGTGCATTTCTGGGCTGAAAAGATATGGTTTGATGGGTAATTTGTCATGCTGTGCAATAGAGAACAACAGTAAAGAGCCTTCAGACAGAAGAAAATTACACAAATAGTAGGGTGGAAAGGTATAATTGAAGATGGCAAAAATCTGAAAGAAAGACATTTAAAATTACTGCACTGACCTACTAAATGCAGCTGGGTATGGAATCCTGGCCTCAGAAGAAGAGGCATTAAATGACTGCAGACTGTGACACTACTGCAGGATAGTGTCAATCTCATGGAACTCTTATAAGATTAAAAAAAAAATGTTAGATTAAATAAATTGGATCCTTCTTTTACACTTGCATGCACAGCCTGAACAAATAACGAACTTACAAGAAAAAATTTCCCTATGGTCAAGCTGGAAACTGGCATCCAGACCAATGGAACCAAGACCTCCCTTTCTTCTCATGATCTGTACAAGGATTCATCCTCCGCCACTAGATTTGTGTCTGTAGACATCCTAGTGACATGACTATTTGCTGCTGCTTGAGATGATTTGTTCACTTGTCTCAGAAGAAAGAAATTATAACCAGTGATTTCAGTGCTCCAAAGATGCCAGGCAAGAACCATCAGAAGTGTGTTCTTTTCCGCTCAATGGGTCCACAGTTTCTCAAACTCTTGGTTCTTTAACAAAAGCTGTTGAGAATCAGAGAATCAGAGAACTAGAGAATCAGAGAAGGGACCTGTAAGGATCATGGAATTTGAATTCTGACCCTGCACAGGACCCTGCAAGAATCACATCATCAGTCTAAGAGCATTGTCTGAGCACTTCTTCAACTCAGGCTTGGTGCTGTCACCACTTCTCTGGGGACCCTGTTCCAACTCTGGGTGAAAAACTTTTCCCTGATGTTAAACCTAGACCTCCTCCAACTCAGCTTCATATCATTTACTCAAATCCTGCCACTGGTCACAAGAGTGTAGGTATCTGTACCTGCTTCCCTTCTTTCCCTCACGAGAAAGTTGCAGACTGCAGTGAGGTCTTCCCTCTGTCTTTTCTTCTCCCCGTTGAATAGACCAAGTGACTCATACAGCCTCCCCTCCAGACCCTGCATCATCATCCTTGTGGCCCTGCTTTGGACACTCTCTAATGGCTTTATCCCAAAACTGCTCAGGATTTGAGGTTATGCCACACCAGTGCAAAATAGAACAGGACAAATGCTGCGGCGACGGAAAGCCCAGAGCACCAGGACTTCTCTAGAGAGGCAGCCCTGCAAAGGGCTGGGCCGAAGTGCGTGTGAGCAGCTTCGAGCAGGCGAGTGATTCCAGCTCGGCTCAGCAGCAGTCGAGTGATTCCAGCTCAGCTCAGCGGCAGCGGGCAGGTGACACGGGAAGCAGGGACGAGAAAGCTGGTCCAGCGTTCTGCTAAGCACAAACCTTTATTCAGACAGAGCTTTGGCGAAGGGAGGCAGCAACAGCTAATCCGCCAAACAGGGGAAAACCAGGGATATTTATAGGAGAGGAGAGGGGTGGGGGGAGCCCGAGGTACTTGGCACATCCTTTGACCAGCAGGAAATGTTATAACTGATGCACACCATTAAGTGTTTGTGTCTCTCCCTTGGAGATGGAATCTTGCGCTATAGAGATTAAACCAATTGCCTTCCCATAAGGTATTTACAATTTACCTACATTTCATCCTTCTTTCTCTTCTGCTTCCCATACCATCCCAGAGCATCAATGAAAGACTCTAAAGGAAGCAGAAGGAGACCCTGCTTTTCCTTTTGATTTATTACGTATTACCTACTCTTCTCAGAGACATGTTGTGCTCTGAACCCCTCAGAAATATTTTGGTGATGTAGGCTACCAAGGATTGATATGGTATCTGTTACTGACTGATCTGTGTCTTCATGAATGGGAAATGTTCATATTACTTGCCAGCTTCTTACCTTCACTGATGGATGCACTTTTGTGCTACATAAAGAATACCACTAGCACTTTGTCTGCTCTTCAGGAGACGTTTGAACTCTGTTTCATATCTGCATGCTTTTTTGTTCAAGCCAAGTCAGAGAATACATCTCTTTCTCATCACAATTCTACCTGAAACACCAGCAAATCATCCTGAAAATGAACTTCACAAGATTCTCACATTGTGGGTACAGCATACTGGCACAACAGAAAAGAAGTTGCTGAGTTAACAGTTTCCCAGATTCCTGAAGCACCCTCTCTGCACAAAGCCTCAACTACAGAGAGCCAGAGCAAATGCAGAATGAGGAAGTATCCCATTGAAGAGATACGATAAAAAATTTTGCTATAATAAAAACATTTTGAGCATAAAAATATTCTAACTGGTGAAACTGCAGGTAGTCTGTTGTTAAGTTAAATAAACAATGAAGCAAGCCAGATACTTCAATAGCAATTGCTGTTCCATGACCTATGCTATTCAAAAGGCTACCTTTCAGTGCATTTAAGTACTAATTGAAGATAATTCTTCAGTAAAATAAGTGGTTGTTTATCACACATCATTTGGTAATAGTCAGGGGCTTGTACGATTCTGTGGCAATTAAATTTGCCAGAGAATCCACCCACTGCTGCAGATGGCTGCAGGATGAACATTACCATTTTTAAAACTAAAATAGGACTTGGTAGAAAATGAAATCTTCCAGATGTTAATTGAAAAAAGGATACAGTTTACTCATGCCTTTGTTGGTGAGAAGGATGCCAGCCAAGCAGCATTGTACCCAGGTCATGAAAAACATGAATCTCTGTGACAATGGAATTATATCATGTATGTGAAGATCATCTGCAGGTATAGAAGTTTCTCATGTAAAGAGTCACTTCTTTGGTGCTGTCTCCTGGGATGTGGCTCCCTCTTTGCAAAGACTTTTGATGACATCCAAAGTACACTCAACCAATTTTTTCTTCCTTTTTGTCATTCAACTGTTGCTTCTTTTAAGTTACAACCAAAATAAATTTCCCCTGGAATCAACACTTTTGCTTAGACTTATGTATTGGGAGATGCTGAAGTGGCTGATGCAGGCTGTCATCTTTGTGTGTCCCAGTTCTTCATTAAGCTAACATCTTCATTGTGCTGAAAAAAACTATTTGTAGTTCAATGGAACTATGCAGCAGCTGTGTCATCAAGACACATTGTATTTTCTCCCAGTTTGTTGTTGGGGGGTTGTAGCCATGCCTGAAAATAGGAAAAACTGAGGACTCACCAATTACGTGTCCCTCTTCCCTCAAACAAAAAAAATCCAAACTCCTCAGCATCTGCATGTGTGATCTATGCTGTATTTCTATGAACACATGTGCAAGATGAGGATAGGTTTATCATTTCCTCTTGTAATCTCAACCTGAATTCTTCCAAAACACATCACTCCTTAGGACCATCGTGAAGAAGGTGAGTTAGGCACAGATGCATTTGGTGAATACTGTGTCTGCAAAGACAAAGGAGGAAGCCATCAAGGCCCTGACCATCTTGACAGGCTATATTACCCTGATAAACTTACCCTCCACTCATGTTCCCAGACCCAGTAGCTAACCTTTAGTTCAGCCCAGGGCTTTAATCAATCACAGCTAAGTTTTAGGTGTAGAAATCTCTGAATGGACTATTAGGCTTTGCTCTGAGCAGCTGTTTCCTGGATAAACAGACTCCTGCTTTTTTACCAGTGCCATTTTGCACTTTTCCCTGAATGGGTTAATGAGCCATGGTGCAGCCTCATCTCAGCCCTGTCCCTGGCCCACCTCCTGCCATTCCTGACTGTGCTCTCAGGGTGATCCCTGGACCTGACTGATTATGCTGTGCAGACTCTCTGGACGAATTACAGTCTTCATCTGAACCATTCCCTTAAAATCTAACTCATCAGAACAGAGCAGCTCATCAGAAAGCTGGAAGCATTAATAGCCAAGCAATATTCACCCAAAATAAAGTCACTGAAGGACCAAGTAAAATGATAATAGCAAACACCTGTTTCCACTTATGCATCTTATCCAATGTATTTCAACTGCAGTTAATAACTATCATAATCACTCAATACACATAATCCTTGTGGTATACATGTTTGAGACAGTGATATCAAGTAACCGCGTTATCTATGTTATCTATGTTATCTAATGTCATATCAGCAATTATTACTACTTCACAACTTATCATTGATACATTTGATCAGGGTTTTTCCAAAGCAACATTTATTTAACACTTATTTAGACATTAATCAAAATTCCTAACACTGTTGTTTATTATAATCTGATTTTGGATAATTTTTCAAATCAGTGCTCATAGAGGCATCAGTGTTACTTCAGCCTCAATGACTATAGTACATTAATGCCAGGAAACAACAGGGGATTAGAATTATATTTTTGTACATACAAGTGGCAATTGTAAAACTCAATTTTTCAGAATGTCTGAATTCTACTAGACATTTTTCTGCCTACTGCTGTGCAGCACTGGACAATGTTTGCTGTCATACTAACAACTGGGAAGGTGGGTCAATGAGAGAAAGCCAAGGTGAGATTAGTTCTCTGTATTATTCCAAGGAGCAGGAAAATGTATAAAGAGTGAAAAAGACCCCTGTATTCCTCCTTTTTGTACTACAAACTGTGACCAAACAGGTAGGGAGCAGCCAGCAGCCAGCACATCAATCTATCAATCCATACACAATGTAAAACATACAGACCTTAGTAATGCTCAGATTCTGTGATAACTTGAGTGCTTAAAATACCACAAATATCAGAATTAGCTGCCATGCAGCTCTAAGCAAGTTGGGTCTATGCATATAGGCATGACAACAGCTTTTAATCACTTCCCCTCTTTGGTGCCAGTTTTCTGACTGAAGTCTCAGACAAGCGCACGAAACCTGGTATTTTCCTGGCAAATTTCTTCTTGGCAGACTTTCTATTTGAGCAGGCAGCAGGTACGTTACCAAGACTATCCTTGAACTTATTCCATTATTTGAAAAATCTGTAGGTGTTAGCAATCCCCAGTGAAACAATTTTATGTGTTCCTTTAACAGACATAATCTAGAATACCACTCCTGTTCATTTCAAATTAATGCTAAAACATCACAGAAAATCCAGAGCAAGGCACACACCCCAAAATGATAAGTTTAAACTTGAATGGTTGAAATTTGACAACTCATAAATAATGAACATCTCAATGCAATTTGTGTATGTCTGTGGTACCAGAACCACCACAAATTGTAGCTTTCAAATCAATTGTCCATATAGAATGAAAGCACTAAAAAAAGGAGGCCCACTTACTCATTTATTAATAAGCATCTTTTGTAGTCACCAGAACAAATGCAAAATAAATCTCTTATCTATTGAACAGAATGTATTTATAAAACTGGAGCCTTCATGAGTTTGGGAAACAACAGCAAAATATGGAAGATTACTTGCAGGAAGAGGAGTTGAATCATATTCACATGAAACTGGGAATGTTTAGTGAGACCCCTTATTTCACTGATCCTTTCCAATGTTTATTATAAATATTCCTTTTCAAATAATTAGTTTGACAATACACCATATTGCTGATTTGCACTAAAATGTTTTCGTTCTGAAAGCTCATAACATTTTGAGGGTTTCAGTTTGCTTTTAGATACTGTCTGTGAATCACTCCATATCATATTTACGTTTGAATTCTTGGGCAACTATACTGGCAATTACTATGTAAAAGAGTTATACAAAATAGCAGATCAGTCTGTAAAAAAACACACTCTGGCAGAAAAGGTCACTATTAAGTTATTACTTTAAAGTAACCTAAAATCAATGTTAACTGTTCTACGGTAAACATTGCTGGGGAAGTTCTCATGCCTTTTCCTGTTGAAGGTATCCTGGAGCACAATTAAAATAATGGCATATACACAGTCAAGTTCCTCCAGACTGCAGCTGCTCACGTTGCTTTGAGTCCAGTGATATAGATGCATTCACACCTATCTCAAAATTATTATTCATTTTTATTATTTTAACTGTGAGAAAATCTAGTAAGACAAGTTTGTTGTGACTTAGGTATTTGTAGTTCCTGGAAGGAGCCTTCTTATGGCACCAACCTGTCACCTAATAGGTGTGCACCTAGTTTGCAACTCCTACATAAACATCATGAAACTGAGGCAGTGCTACAGCCTTCACAGAGCTGCACAGAAATTGCTCTGCATGAGAAGCCAAACTTGGGCCCTGCAGTGTCATCTCCTCCCTTACTGCCCCTATAGCTATTGAATTACACAGACACACTGGCTACCCACTATTCCTGCATGTGTCAGAAAGTACTTCTGGCTGCATTAATAACTTCTCCCCATCTTTTCTTTTGCATTTGTTAAACAAGTTCTACAAATAGGAGCATTTGAGGTGCTTTTACAGGTGTGTATACAGTTGTCTCAGCATTTCAGAAGAATCATTAATTTACTGCAAGGTCACATTCTTCTCTCACTCACTATCCTTTCCCTATGGTGCTTTTAATTTTCTTTTTTGAAAAGTTGTTTTCACTTTAAGGAATAAAATTGGGATAGTAGAGAAGCATGTTCCAAAGTTTTCTTCTTCTCCCACTCTTGTAGACATGTTTTTTTTCAAAAATGGCTGGGCTAAATGATGCTTGAGGTCCCTTCCAATTTGGTATGCTGTGATTCTAGGATTATCTTTTTTCCTGCTTTCAGCTACATTTATGCCAAATCTGACTGGTTTTGCTGCACAGCATGCATCTGCCTCTGCCTACAAATGGCCACAAACAGAGTTACTGCTACTCAAACACTGTCTCTTCCCTCTGCTTCCTTCTCTACCTCATTGCATTTACTCCATGCTCTTTCATAAGTTATGGACCTACCTATTTCCAACATCTTACTGTGCAACTTCTTTCCTAAATAAAATTCTTCAATTCTGTGAAATGTGGCTTACCACCATTGCTAAGAAACACTTAAATGGACAGATACCTCATCTTATCTATCTTAACCCTACTCTACATCCTTTTCTCAAAGTTGTTCAGAATGCTGCAGCTAAACTCACCCTTTCCCTACCATACCTATATTTTCTATATACCTTCCAATTTACTTTTTCTCTGGGGAAAAATCTCAGCTCCTACTCTGTATCAGGAAAACCTACATAGCATTGCTCTCTCTCTCACTTGCCAAATGTATATTTACAGCCTTTTTCCTTTCAGAGTTTGCACAGTGGTAAAGGGGAGGCCACATGCAAATTTGTTCATGTATATTTACTGTTGTATTGCACCTATTTGAGTAAATTTGTGAATGGGCAATTTCACACTCCATCACCTTGCTACTGTGACCGTGTAATTCCCTCCTGGAAAACCTATGGACCTATCAGTGGAAGTAGACTCCCACCCCTTTTCTATCCCAAATTTGAGCCAATTTTGTTGTATACAAGCTCCTCAAACATAGCTGCTTTTCAGTCAGTCGGGTTTCTTTCTCAGTCCTTTTCATTTGGGTATGCTTCAGGCATGGAAATATCAGAATTTAAGACCTGTATTTGCTATGATAGCTCAAAAATAAGAGGAGGTTATTTTATTCCTTGGAGAATCCCTTGTCTACATTTTGCTCTGCTGATGATCCATAAGAGTCTTCACATAGATCACTTTTCTTTTTACAATGATGCTATCTACTTGTTTGCCATATTCTTATTTTTTTTTTCCTGGTTTTTTTTTTTCCTACTTATTTGTATTTTATCTATAAAATCAAAAACCATTCAATGAGCCTTTATTTTTCTGAAGTATGTCTAAGTTGATGGTGCTAGAAAAGTGATCTGTGGAAAACTAAAATAGTAATAATAAGTTAGGCATATGATGATCTGGAGTTGTATAATATGCCCATTATCATACGATCTGTGCAGTTTTGTCATAGCTTTTTAGCACCTGAAAAACTGAATATAGGCCAAATGTTGAATCTCTATTTTGTGTGATGGAGAAGGGAGACAGATTTTATCTGCAATATGCTCAGGCTGACTTTCTAGCATTTTGGAAGTGATTCTTTAACAAATGCTAGGGAAAAATAAAAAAAAAAAAAAATAAAAAAAGACATCTTGGATTAAAAAGCTAAAACTCATAAAGCTGAGAACATATTACTTAGATGAAGATTTATGTGCCCAAGAGATACCACTACCAATTTTCCAAATTCTTTTCTCTCCCCAAGGTCTGTGGCTAGGAAGAATTGGATTTTTGCCAGTTACATGGAGTCAACAGGGCAAATCTTGGTTCCATCATTTCAAAACAGCAGAGTCAAGCCCACTTTCCACTGTATTTTGCAATGCACCTGAGCAATCCTTCAAGTGTGTAGTCAATTTTTTTTTTTTCAGGATAATAAACAAGGTCAGAGCTTCCTTACCAACCTCAGGCTGAACACAGAGGGCTGAGTCGAGATTTGGCTCTCTTTGTACTTCCCCACTTAGTACCCCAGTAACCTTGACCTTATAACAAGGTCAGGGACACAATGAAAGGGAAACGAAAAAATTGCCATGTGTGCTGCTTCCTTCTCTGGAGGCTGAAAGTTTCACCTCTCTGATATGCTTATTTGGCTCAGAGTAAAAGTTCCTGAGAGCAATCACAATCTTAGGTCTCATGTGGCAATCTGCAGAGCAAACAGGCCAGCCCACAGGCAGATTACTCACTGACACTTTCACAGGGGGTCAGACAGCTTCAGTTTGCCTACCTATAATCATACTTCTTAAAGAAAATGATTACACGTTTGTAAACAGATATCCTTAAATAAAAGTATAAACCTGATAAAGAGAATCTGGCATGTTTAAAGGTAACAATTTTTATCACATAACAAAGTTTTACAGAATTTCCACACAAATACTGTTCCAGCCTAATCAGTGGGGAAATCATTTATGCCATCTGCACTCATCAGGGACTGTGCTGTGGACACAATACAGCAAATAAAAACAGCAAGGGTGGTAAATGAAAATAATATGCAGGGATATATACTTAGCAAGCAAAATCTCTAAACCAGTAACATTTCAGTGAGAAGTACTGGATCTTTGCAGACAGAAATATGTTTTTCTGATAGCAGTTATAATTAACAAGGTATTTGATTTATTTTAAGGTATTTTCTTCACCTGAGCCTGGCTCAGGTGAAGAAAATGCTCTTTATAAACAAAATTAAGGCAGGATTCTTTAAAAATACATAGAGAATGTAACTAATGGATAGCAATAACTCTTTTTCATATATTTTAAATCAAAGTAGATTAAAAGCATGCATCAGTTGTACTAATTAATAGGTAGAATTACAAGAGAGTTTTGAATTTAAGCCAAGATAATATTGAAATAACTATATGTGATCTGCAAAGGATCTTCTTCAGAAAGATAATTTCGAAAATAAATGTAGTTCATGCCATTGTTTCTTTTTCTGCATAGAAATATAGAGACACAAAATCCCTTCTTTTAGCTCTATGCTTTGATATTTTAACTAGCTAGTGTAGCAGACACATCTTAAAAGAAAAATTATTATTTTGCTTTCCAGTAATTTCTGTGTAAAAACCCAGAATAAGCTCCTTTATTTTCATTCTTTTGGTTCATTTTCAAGACATTGTTAAGCTCTCAACTTCTGTGACCTACTACACAGTGACATGGGTGGGTATGGCTGTTACAAAAAAAAAAAATAGTCTGAATTATTATTAATTTTTCCTATTCCTTTTTCAGAAATACAGAAAACTAGACTTGTTTAAGGCAATGAGAACAGTGATTAAGTTTGATGGTAATGTGAACGATCATTGTTTTTCAAACAGTAGAGGACAACAAGAAATTTCAGAATTTCCATTCATTAGGACTTTTAGAACATTAATTTTAATCTAAGAATAGAGTGGATAGGAGGCTTGAAATGAAATACTTGATTTATCAAACATGATGAAAGTACAAGATCTTTATTACAGCAGATACGAACCCCAAGAAACAAGTTTCCACATAGAAAATAATAAAAACACTTACTTATTTGGTACTCAGCTCTTGAACCCTGAATAAGCGAAGTACATATTGAGAGAGAGGTACTTAAAATGTTTCCATGGATACAAGATGATGCCAATAAGGTCCATGTTCCTATCTGAAAGGGTGCCCCTGCAGAGACATACAGCTTAGTGAGTGGTTGTTTATACAAATAAATAAATAGGAACCTTGTTTATCTTACAAAGAGCTCCTGATCCACAATTTTCAACTCATTTGTTAGAAAGGAACACTTTGCTCCTTCTGAATAGCATATTAGAGCAAAGTAGACACTACTGAAATTTTTTCTTTAAAGACACTTGAGTTTATGGCCTAGTTTTTGAGGGGAAAATGGAGTATCTAGGTATGCTACTACCAATCCCAGCACCTATGCTGGTAACTTTTAACTCTGTGAGAAAGTACACTGGTGCAAATTACACCTTTCTTTCAAGGACCAGAAGTTATCTCCAGGAAGAAAAAAAGAGAAAAATAAAAGCAAGGGGCAGATATAAATTACAAATAAATTATAAATATAAATAAGGACAATCATACCAAGTTTTCATCACCTCCTTCAAAAGAGCCTCCATTTACTTTAGGTCCCATTTTAAAAGTGGCTGGTTCCTAGACTATGACAGCATAAGTGCTACAAACATGTGATTTTGAAATTCAGACTCTCAATTCTTCATGCTTTTTAATTTTGGGGATGAAATTAATACCTTCTACATGGTATGCTTTAGTTTTCTAATACTATAATATTTGGGAAAAAAGCACAATGAGTTATCAAAGATAATCAACTTTAACAGTTAGCACAATTTGATAACCTGAATTGAAATTTCTGTGTGCTGTGTTCCTATTTTTAAAAAGTTTTCTTCCAGCTACAATTAAGAGAACACAGCCTCATCTTGTTCATAGATTCCTCTTGGAATAATGTAATTTTAACATCTATTTAAAGGAGGAAACTTTTTTGCCATACATGAGCCTCTTGGCCTTCCTTCCTCTTGAAGAACTGATTCCTGGATACTGGGTAAGATGATTGAGTAGATATTTTCCATTTGAACTTGCAAAGTACTTTTGAAGGGGGTTGGCAATGCTCTGTTCGCTTGCCAGCACTGACAAAGGTCTGCTTGTCAGTGATACCCTTTACAGCTAAATTTACTTGGGAGTGACAGAAGCAGGTGCACCTTGGCCTGCCAGACACTTGTGCACGCACATCATGCAGCCTACAGGTCAACATCCAAAGGAGAAAAAGCTTGGGTCTGCAGAGCTGAGGGTGAGTGAGGCAAACACAACCCAAACTGGGGGGCTTCTCTTCAAAGCCAGCTGGTCTGGCTTTATTCTACAGGAATTTTTTTACCTGATTTTTTTGATCAACGAAGCCCTCAGCAGGTGCTGACGGGTACAACTTCCTGGAGAAGCAGAAGAAGGGCACTGGTAAGTTTTAATAGGAAAAAAAAATTAAATAATTATTCTTATGTCTTTGGAATGTTCTGCTTGCCACAGCGCTGGGTGATTCAGCTCCAGGCTCATGGTTACTCTCACAAAGCTTTCTTCAAGAGAAAGCAGATAATCTTTGTAGAGTGCTTTGCATTTAACTTGATACAGTGCTTGATTTTAGCTTCTGTTGCCAAGAAAAGTTTCTGTAAACTGACTGGATGCTTCTACTCACTTTCTTTCAAATTGTTTCTATGATTCTGAATGAAAAGAACATAGAGGATTACATGCAGCAACAGCAGAAGCTAAACAGTGCTGGCTGAGGGTGTACTGTGTGCTCTCTCCATCTGCCTCCTTTAAAATAAATGAGTTATCCTGGTAATTTCCAAATAAATCAAAAGGATTTTCTGTCTGTAGACTGCTCAGTATTCGGAGCTTCAGCAGTCATTCTGAGGCTTAGAAATTCCTTCTGAACATCAACTAAGTTTCTTTTGTAATAAGTGAGTGAAATTAACACTGTTTAGAGCATTTTACAAGACAATCAAAGGTTTGCCACACAAAGCCATTGCCTTATACTAAAGTGAAATTTAAATTATAAAGGCTTCATGAGAGCATTGCTTGACATGGTGCTTTTCTAAGATATCACGGATTTACCCATTCCCTTGTTTTAAAACCACAAATTATACCTGTGTGTGCATTCTTAAATTTGCATAAGAACTGGGAAACTAGATGATGGGGAAAAAAGATATTTTTTTTTCTAGAACAATAAGATTTCAATTAATGTGAAAATGCATGAAAATGTGACCACATGTTAAAATAAATATTTTTGTGAGGAGAAAAGTGTTTTTATTATTATTTCTATTTCAAGAACTCATTCTTTTAACTGTGTTTCACAGTATTCATTACAAATTGTTGTGTTAAATTGAAAACATTTATTTAAGTGAGTAAACAGACAGAAAACTTAACCATATGAATCATTTTCAGTAAACAGATTCCATAGTCACAAGTCACAGCGCAGCATAGAAGACACTAATGGGGGAGAAAAAGGAATCATATGTTAATATACTGTTGGACTATTTCTGTAGTAGGTCTCCCCCACAAATCAAAATAAATTATATGTCAGCAATTTGTAGTCTAAGATTAGTCTTAATAATAGTATCTGAATAATAATGACCTTTTAAACCCCCTGATCTTTGATTTTGGTTCTGCTAGGCTGCTTGGTGTGGGACCCATATCAATTTACAGGGAAGTCCTACCGCAGCAGAGGTAGATCAGGCATAGCTGTCATCCATTTTCTTCATTTTCAGAGACAGGAAAATGGAGAAGAGGTTATTTCTGTTTCTGGAATGTACTATATGAAAATAATCACAATTTTATTTGCTGCAAAGATATCCTACTGTATGTGAGAATAAAAGGCAAATAGGATTAAACATCACTAATCAAAGCGTAAACTTCTAAATATGAAAGATACATTTTCTGATCAAGTATGGAATATAGAACAAACAAAACCCTTAAAACTATAGCTGCCTTTAAAATGAGCAATGCCTGTAAAACTCTGCTGTTTCATAGATAACATGTATGGAAACCAAATCCCCTGAACAGTTATTCAAACAAAGCACTGTCAAATAAGAAGTCAGTAAATAGTAGTGGCAATTCCTGGAGCTAGCTAGATATTGTACATGCCACACTAAGCAAGAAAAAACATACAGCCTGTAGTTTAGAGTCTTTAGTTCAGTACACTCTAAGTTCATCAGCATTTTACTGATCTTAAAGGCTTAGAAACTGTAATCATGTGACAAACTCCTCAATAATTTAATGGAATTCCAGGTAAGTTAGTCTGTATTTCACTGCACTGTGGGCAAAAAAAAGTATTTTGTGAAAGTTAAGATGCTTTTCTTTTCTAGAAAAAGATTGTTTAATGTTTCAAAAGGTAGAGATTACTCACTAGTTAATTTAGACCATTACATTTAAATGAGTGCCCTTAATTAGTCTTTCTGGTAACTTATTACTGTCATCAGCAGATTTCAGCACATTAGAAAGTCTGAAATATTTCTGTTATTAATGAAATATTGAGATATTAAGAAATAGGAAAACCTAATTTAATGCACTGAAACTTCTTAACTATTTCAGTTAGAAAGAGAATCACCTCTAAAATGCCTGCTACATTCTTTTATTTTTGTAACAAATATTCACTATTAACTAAGAGCTCTGTGATCAGTTTTGTAAACTATGGCAATTTATTCTACAACTATCTTTTTTTATTTTTTAAAGCTACAGTGGCTTTCAATCATATTTTCCAGTAAATCCAAGTTTTAGTGAAAGGAGGATATCTATATTAGTTTTTCCATAGTGCATGTAAATGAAAAGTGGGATTTGACCACAAAGTTTTGGCAAAAATCTCAGTTTAGGAGATTCACATCCCAGATTGTGTTCTTCAAAAGTTAATTTAATTTTTTTTTATATACTGCTACATGGTATTTTAAAACCTACTTTCACTTACACTGGCAAAAAACTGGACAGTTTCCACTGAAGACAATAAAGTTGCATATAAAAGTTAGGTAAGAAGATGGGATGATAAAAAAATCAGTGGGGGAATAGAATTAATAGCCATTTAATAATAATTAATAGCCATTTAATTATAATTAATAGCCATTACAGCTTCACACAAGAGTTCCTTAAACATGAAACATTTTCATTTTATATTTCTCTTATAAAATGTATGTGCATTGATGTATATATATACATGTATACATATACCTGTGCATATAAAGTGTGTGAATGTATAAATATATGTTATACATATATGCTATATATTTATTTATATAAGATATAATTGTTAAATATGTTTTTAATACTATTACTTTAATAATTATTTCATAAGTATTATTTTAAATATTGATATATATAATAATATATAATATATTAGTATATATTATATCTATTAAATATATATATATACTTTAAATTTATAATTATTTTCCCTATGCTACACTGGGAAAAATCTTTTCCTAAAAAAGACAATTCCTTCTTGGAATTTCATTAATTAATGTTTTTGTTCAGAAATTAATTGGTTATTGGTCTGAGATAGTGACCATTGGAATCAAAGGATCAGACTACCATTAGGAGTAGTGGAGGACCTCTTTGTAGGTCTGTTTGCAATGCAGGGAGCCACTTGAAGCCTTGCCTGAGGGCTCCGTGCCCCTGAGCAGTCCTGGTGGCTGCAAATGGATGGCTTTGCAGCTGCTTCCACCCCTGCACCCCACTGCAGCTCATTCCCAGGTGAAGGCGCTCTCAAGCACCACTCTCAATGACTGCTTGGAGCTCCACCCTCCTATCCCATTTCAAAAATAATATTGCACTCTACATTCACCATAAACTAAGTAACAAGGACAGGTCTCAAAGTACACCCCTCGTCACAATGTGCAAGTACACAAACTGTTTGTTAATGGGAGTTGTCTTCTCTAATTAAACTACTGACAATTTATTACACAGTCAGATATGGGTTTCTTCCTTTGAAAACAACTTAGCTTTATGAGACAAGCTCTGAAAGCACCACTTGAGAAATCTTCAATAAAGACAAAAGCACAATATTTTCTATGACTAACTCTAAAGGCACCAGATTCTAAATCAAGTTCAATAAATACAGCTTATAAAGAATAAACATCTAGATTTAAGTTAACATACACAAGTTTACTGGAAGCATGTAAAATAACTGCACAGGAAAAAATAATTAAAATAAAATAAAATAATGGAATTAATGAAATGAAACAGCAATTACAGCTCTGTTCATAAAAATAGCTAAATAGCATTATTATTTCTACACATATACTTAAAAGTTGTACTTACAGCACATGAAGTGCAATCTAATGTTAATGTAACTGATGCTCTGTATCCTGTGCAAACATAAGGGCAAAAAATTGAAAGCTGAACACTATGATACCAACGTGATAAGGATTAGTCCTGCAAAACAAACCTTTCTGTTTATGAGTCCCTACATTTTGTATTCTTTTTGTCTTCTTTTTTAACAAACAAGCTTTCCCCCAATAATTTCCATTTCTCTCTACTTTCATTATTATAACAGTAACAATACAGAAGTATACAAAATTGGTGCTTCCTATAGTTTTTGCTGTAGATACCTGCAGCAATAATTCTTGCCCTTTATTTTTTAAATTTCTATATGACTGTATGCAAATTACCCTTTCTCTAGTATCAATCCATCTCCTGAATTTAAAATTATTGTAGAAAGAATGTTGGGTAATAACAAATCATTATTGTGTGCAATAATTATAAGAGTATATTAACACTGAAAAAAATACAAGAGACTGTGAAACAATCTACTTGTATATCAGAAGATTGTTCCTACCCTTGCAAAAATACATCTGTCCATTTAATTATGTGTACTTGCACTATATCAATTCATTAGTCATTTAATACTCCACCTCAGTCTCACTGAAATGAGATTTAGGTTTGTTTTCCTCCACATTAATAGAAGGCAACTGTCTTCCACTTAGGATAAAGAAGAACTTGGTTCCTTTGTACCTGGGAGAAACCATTTATTTAAATAGCTTCCAAACTGCTAGGTTTAATCTGCAAAAAGGATGTGGGAACTCCTCACTGAATCTCAATTTAATCCAAAAATTTTTAACCCCTCTATCCCCACTAGCCACAATCCTCTTGAGTTATTTCTGCCCATATTCCTATTGTCTTATCTTCCCCTAGATGAATATGTAAACTACAAAAAGACCCTTCAGTCTTACTTAGGAGCTAAACTTTCTAAACCCCTTCCAAACATGTACCTATTCCCCAGCTCTTGCCCCTTTAGCTGAGCAGCAGCAAAGAAAAAAATTCAGTCACATCCAGAGATAAAGAAGTTTTACAGCTCAGAACTTCTAGCTGCTGTAGAATTAAAATATAAAGACAAATACGAGAGTCACCATAACATGTTTATTTGCTATTGAGAGTTTAAAACTAAAAAGGCTAACAATATATTAGGTCAATTCAAGAAGTTTCAGCATATATTTGAATGAAATTAACTGATTTTTTTAACAAAAAAAGAAAATTCTGAAGTTGTCTCTGTATGTTTTTTAGTTGCTTTACAAGAATAATAATTTCTAATTGAAGGAACTTCAACTAAGTTCTCAGATTTCTTCTCCTTTAGCCATGTTAGGGTAGCTATCTGTAAAAAATCATTGCTGAAATCAGATCTTGCTAGTCTGATTGGTGCAGACTTGCAAGAACATAACAGACCAGAAATGGGAACTTAAATCTGTGCATCATACAGGAGCTGTACAAAGAAGATCTGACTAGATCATATGGCATTAACAGAAATTTCAGATTAAATACATCCAGACCAAAATATATATATCTAAACATGACCTGAGGCTTGGTTTCCTTTTAACATCAATAATATCAACTTTTTAAAGTACTTTAATGAGAAAAGTTAAAACCTCACACAGGATGCTCATGGAAGGTTTAAACAGATTAATATAAGTAGCACCATCACATCTAGAAGCTGACACAACTATTGTGCAATTACATTTATGGTCACAGAAATTACAAGTTCTTCACTTTCCAAGAAGAGCTGTTGACTTTCAAAAGGCCTCTCTAAATCATCCAGTAAAATATTTGTGGTAATTTTTGTTTTTACAACAGAGATGTTATTACAGCAGCACTTAGAAGACATATTTATAGATCAACACCTGTGTTTCGAGATGTTGCAAGACAAAACAAAAACATTAATTTAGTACTGAAAAGTTTGAAAACACCCAAAACCTGTGCATTTTGTCAAAATGTCCACAGAATAACCTGTTAGTTCCTGGTATCTGCATGCAAGCATATCTGTATAAAAAAGCTTGAGAGTAATACCTTCATACCCTCATTCCATATACTAATCTATCACTATTGTATTCTCTATTCAATTTATGGTGTAAGTATCTCTGTTAGAACAGGTCAGATCATTGACCACTAAAATTTGTGCATCGTTTACTCCAATTTTCATTCCAGAAAGTGGTATGAAATCTGAAATAGAGACAAATTTTGTCAGAGAAATGACAAAAATCTGGTTGCTTATCTAAAATATAGCTCAAAGTCTAATCTGGAAAACCCCTGCAAATTATTTTTTAGGGGGGAAAAAAAAATTGAATACTCTAAGAGATGTCTTTCATGTGCAACATTTGACTACACACCTAAAGCCAGAATGGGAAACCATAGTGGTCTTCAGCAACAGGAGATGAACCTTTTTTTTCTCCTTAGAACCTGTTTGATTCTGAATTTTATTTGAATTGTGGCTAGAGGTCCATCCAAAACAAACCTCCACTTTGCTTGGCCCTCAAAATTACCATGAA